CTCTTTGGTCGCAACTACGAAATCGGAAGTATTGCCACTGTTGGATCTGATTGAGCATTTCTCCACTAGATGTTTAACTGTTTGCCTTGCAGTACCGCAGTGGTAATTTGGAGAGGGTATTTAAAAAGTGAATCGTAGCATCTGCTGGTATTTTGTTCAGTGTGGTCCAGATTCGTCCTGGTTGGTCGAAACCTGTCTTGCTTGTAACACTTGGCATATTACGGGAGGAAGGCGGCGCATTCTTCTCGTCAAAGGTCGGTTGTTCCTTGAACGAAGCCTGCTTTTTGTCTCTGCTGGTAAAACCAACGTGGGAGCGAAGCACAGGATTGGTGTTAATTTTTCTGTACTCTCTAACGAATTAATGTTCTCGGTGGACATATGAGGTCCAGTATTTAGCCCAGTGTTGGTAGCCAATACGTTGGCGTGGCCTTAATAGAGCTTGATATAATATGCAAAGCCTACATTAGTTGAGCGTCAACACGTTTGGTGTGGGAGTTGGGCTGTTGAGCCACACAGTTGCACATTAGTATGCAACGGTATATATATATACGAGTCTCAGTGCTGTTGATTCAAGTGCAGTCGTTGAACAATTTCATGAGATACCGCGTAACTTTTACAGAATATTATTTCGTGTTTTAAGTTTTGCAGTCGTCTTGGTAAGATGTTTTTTATTTTAAATCATAGCGTTCTATCGAATATCATGGGTGTTTAGTATGGCTAACGAAATTTTGGGTTTTTAGTATGGCTAACGAGGCTGTCTTCAAAATGGATTTTATAATTGGTAGTTGGCCAGTCTGCTGTTTCAATGAAAGTTCAATACTTTTGCCTTGGCGGCAATATCTTCCGAGAGTAACCAGGTCATTTGTTAATATTTGCTTAGTAGTCTACAACTCTTTATGTCTTCAAGTACCATCCCTTGGGCTTCTTATTCAAGATCCTCATCTTCTTTTCACACCTCTTATGTCCTCTATTTTGTCTTGGTTTGATACTAATCTGATATTTTGTTCGTCCAGATTTTCCTACACTCTTCCGTTCCTAGAATGAACTATCTTCCAATAAATTCGTCCCAGGAACGTTTCTCAAAAACATTAACAATAACATTTTAAAGCAGTCTACTTTAAAATGTATAATATATATCTGAATTGTCAATATGGACGAGGTAAGGCAAAATATAAAAATTTGTTTAATTTGTATTTTGACAAAGATTTCCGAATTTCCATTAAAGATACTAAATAATATTAAAATTACAGAGGAAAAAGTTATGTTGACAGAAAATAGTAATAGTTATGTTAATGATTCTAAGGACATGCCGACAGATGCTGTGCCAGTCAAATTCGACTTTGAAACACCCTGTACAGTGGTTATAAAAAACCACCAAATGGATGAAGACATTGAACCAAAAGTGAAAGAAGGTTCACTCGTATGGTATACGGATGGATCTAAGATAGATGAAAGGGCAGGAGTGGGAGTTACTGGGCCCAATTTCAGGCCATCTAAATTTCTTGGAAACGCCCCAACTATCTTCCACGCAGAAACACATGTTATAGACATAAGTGGCCAACAATGTCTGAACCGAGACACCCGTATGGCTTATAAGTCTTATAAGGCTTATAAGTCTTTATTTTATTAGACAGCCAAGCCGCCTTAAAGGCTGTAAAATCATTTACATGTGAGTCAAAGTTGTTTTGGGACTGTAAACAATATCTCAAGAAGCTGGCGGAACGCAACAATATAACTGTGATGTGGGAGCCAGATCACAAGGGAATTGCAGGAAATGAGGAAGCTGACAGCCTCGCAAAAGAAGGAGCTAATGCCCCATTCCAGGGTCCGGAACTATCAAAAAGCCACATCAGAGAGGAACTCCGTACCTGGGAACTCAATCAACTAAGATCGTATTGGTCTAACACACCAGGACAAAGACAAGTAAAAAGGCTCATAAAAGTGTCGCCTACTGCAACAAACCGCCTTCTCAAAATGAGTAAAAAAGATATCAAAATGGTCACTGGCCTTCTCACTGGCCACTGCCCTCTAAGATATCATCTCAAGAAGATGGGCAAATCAGATAGTGAGCACTGTCGTTTCTGTCACAATGAAAAATAAATGGCAGAATGTACAGGGTGAGTCATGAGGAACTTTACATACTTCTACCATATGTAGAGTCCCTCAGGGAGCATATCATGTGGCCACTAAAAAATGTCAACTCCTCTTCTTTATTAATTAACAGGTGAGTGTAATCGACCATTTATGTCATTTTACTGTAGTGTTTATACGGCTCATTTGATTTTTTAAATTTTTGCATGATACAGTACACTACTACCAAGCATTCGACTGGTATTAGCTAAACTAAAAAATTCCAGGACTGGCTTTGGAAAAATAATTTAGGGATTCGTAATAAATATTACACCCTGTATATATATTTTTTTAAATGCAATAAGTGATTTTCAAACTACATAAATAGCCAATGAAAACGACATATGCGACAATGTTGTCGCACTTTTATTAAATTTTTAGTGAAAGATCAAATCTTACCAAAAATAGAACAACCATAATGAAGTATCAAATTATAAGGTAACTAATTTAAACAAATGTTATAAATTTCAAACATTTTAATTAAAATGATAAACTGAGTCACTGCACAACAAAAAACAGTAACTACTAACAATAACGAAGAACAATTTAAAAAAAAACTAAAAATATGTACATAGTTATGATAAACCCATAAATTAGAACTGGAAAAGATACAATAATGGTAACAAAATAAAAATAATTCAAAATAGATTTTCGAAATGGAACCCTGCAGCCTGTACACATTTTTGTTGCCGAATTGTTAATTGACGTATTGAATTACGGATACTCTGGGGATCGTTTCTAATAGTATTACAACAATGTATAATTCTATCAATTAATTGTTGTCGGTTATTAATATTCACTGCGTAAACTAGTTGCTTCAATCGTCCCCAAATATGGTAATCAACGGATTGAAATCAGGGGATCTTGAAGGCCACGAAATAGGACCTGCACGTCCTATCCACCTGTTGCCATAAACATTATTGAGATGTTGTCTCACTGCCAGTAAAAAGTGTGGGGGTGCCCCATCATGCTGAAAATACATCCCTCGGATAGCAACGTTCGCGTTGGCAAGCAAATTCGGCAAAATATTTTGTAGAAAGTTCAAATAGACCGGCCCTGTTAAAGGACGATCAAAAAAGTGAGGACCTACTAATTGGTTATTTATGACACCAATCCACACGTTAACCGAAAACCTTAACTGAGAACGACGTTCTCGAATAGCATGGGGATTTTCTTCTGCCCACACATGTGAATTTCGTGAATTATTTATCCCGTCTCTGGTAAATTGGGCTTCATCTGTAAATAGTGTCCTGTATAGCGTTGGTCGATTATTGTTAATCCATCTACAAAATTCCAACCTATCGATCTCATCTCCAGCATGTAGTCGTTGAACCATTTGAATGTGATATGGGTATAGATTATTTTTTTGTAAGACTCTACTTACTTTTGATTGAGTAACATTGAGTTCTCGACTTACTTGTCTAGTGCTTATTGTAGGGTTCATAGTAACGGCGTCCATAATGTCATCTTCCTGTGCTTCATCTACATGTCGCTCTGTTGTTCCACTAGGAAAAGTGCCATTTTCTCGCAAAATAATTAAAAACTGAACCAAATGTTGGATGATTGGAAGTTCGACGATTAGGAAATCTCCTGCGATATTCTCTACTAACAGCCCTACCATTCCCATTACAGAATCCATAAACAAATATTATGTCTGCATATTCTGTGGTCGAAAACTGATGTGGCATTTTGAACGAAAGTAACAAAAGCTCTACCAAAACTAACACATACTGTACTTATACGTAGATATGACAGAAGAAATATGTATTCTTGTACACATAAATAACAATTGATAATGATAATAATGACAATGGGTATAAAATATCAAGAAACGTCAAACGGTCAATGCCAACCTTCATTTTAAACTTTTTAGATTAATTTTTATTTAGTACAGTTGATGCAATGTATTATTATTTGACATAAAATTTTAATCATTTACAATCAACAAAAACTAACACATACAAGAGGTTTGACTTTTTAATCAATTTAATTTATTATTTATCGAAAATAATGCCCCAATACGATCTATGAGTAAAAATTTAAAATTGAAAAACAATTGATTCTATCGTAGAGATAATACAAAGTGACAGTAAAGATGTTAATTTTCTACGTATTAGATTATGTTGTAGGAACTCATTTTAATTAAAATGTTTGAAATTTATAACATTTGTTTAAATTAATACCTTATAATTTGATACTTCATTATGGTTGTTCTATTTTTGGTAAGATTTGATCGTTCACTAAAAATTTAATAAAAGTGCGACAACATTGTCGCATATGTCGTTTTCATTGGCTATTTATGTAGTTTGAAAATCACTTATTGCATTTAAAAAAATATATATACATGGTGTAATATTTAATACGAATCCCTAAATTAATTTTTCCAAAGCCAGTCCTGGAATTTTTTAGTTTAGCTAATACCAGTCGAATGCTTGATAGTAGTTTACTGTATCATGCAAAAATTAAAAAAATCAAATGAGCCGTATAAACACTACAGTAAAATGAAATAAATGGTCAATTACACAAATCACCTTGTTAATTAATAAAGAAGAGGAGTTGACATTTTTTAGTGGCCACATGATATGCTCCCTGAGGGACTCTACATATGGTAGAAGTATGTAAAGTTCCTCATGACTCACCCTGTATATTATGCAACTGCGTAGCACTGTTCTGCAAACAACTAAAATTCGTAGGAGAGGTTAGTCTGGCGTCCTCTGAAAACAAGTCACCTAGGAAGCAGAAGTATTGCATTCCAGAGTTTAACTAGCTAAGGTATGCACAAAAGATCTCTATAGGTCGAAGTGCGGTGAGGCCCCATGGCCTTAACGACCTTACATAATCTAATCTAATCTATGTTAATGATGCATCTCTTACCTATTCATATTTTGTCTCTGTTCAAAATATTCATATTCAGTATCAGGATATGGTAAATTATCGTCTTCGTCTTTGTGGCATTTGCGACCGCACAAATAGCCTGCGAAAAATCCTACAACTAAAGCGGACACAGAACCTGCTACGACGGCCATAATTAGTGTCTCCACGGAATATTGGTTAGGAAGAGCATCAGCCGCTGTAACTGCAGGACCTAAAACATAATTCTCTAATAAGTATAATTAAATCTATAGTTTCTTTCTTTTAAGTAAATATTTATCTTCTAAACAACAAATGACACCTAAATATGATACAAACAACTAAAAATACTTACCACTGCTTTCAAAAGCTTTGTCCTGAATAATATTAATGACTTGCCCATCAGGTTTGTCATTAATGGGTTGATGATCAGAATTATACTTCGGTTGAGTCGAACTTAGTCCTCCGACAGATCCAGCATCTTTTCCCAACTTTAAGGGAGGGCACGCAGTGTGCTCACCGGTGCTAACACTTTGGAAGAAGTAACTTTCTTCACCCCAGCGACCAGAACCCTTGGATCTACATTTTCCTTGCACTTTGTCCCAAGCACAATAGGGATCTTGGAGAGCAACGCATTCACTAAAATAAAAATAAAGATTAGATTTCAATAAAAGTTTGTACTAAATAACATATTTAAATATGAAATCGCCTCGGTAGGAAAGTGGTTAGAACGTTAACTCATCTAGTGAAAACTCAGAGATTCAAAAGTTCAACTTATCATCTAGAAAATGGCGCAAGTATTTGGACAGTTGATGGAATATTTGCCTGAGGCTGTGTTTTTTCCTTTGTGTAAAGCTTCGTTATATTCATCATATGTGATGAACCGAAAGGCATTCGAATTACAATTGCTATTGATCCGATAGGGGCTGTACGCCCTTGACGTAGGTTCGGAGGCTTAAGCTGACAGTTTAGATAGAGCTGTAGTCTGGCGTAGAAAGTGGAATAAGTATGTGTGTGTGAATGAATGGGATCTCCCTAATAAGGAGCACTCCGCTGAATGAAGGTACCCCCTATAAACGGGGTAGGCCTGGTGAATGGGAAGTATAGAAAGATGTGCAACGACCACGCTAGAACAGTTACTGTCACCACATAGCTCTCTGGGGTTATGCGTATCTCTCCTAGGTATTCGAGACACTAGGAATGGATACACTGCTTCAGCGCCACTGAGCTACACGTTCACCTCATTGACTCTAAAAGCAAGTACCAACAAGGTGAAGGATACCTCCTCCTCGGAACCAGGAACCTGACACTCGGCAGCCGACGACGGTTGCTGAGGCTGAGACACCCCTAGTCCTATTGCAGTATATACTCTACAGATACAGATACAATTATTACTATTATAAAAATTTCCAAATCAATTATCTACCTTATCTATGGTATCTCTTCTATCAAACTTATTAGTCCTCGCTAAATTCGTAGGTTTCTTCAAGGTACTTTAATTTCACACAGGTTTTAATTTCCCGCTCAATCCCAATCCAAAAAATCAGATCCTCATGATCCTCCAAAAAAATCTTTTTTTTCTTCATTGGTATTATATGACTAGCCATCGTATACTAGTTCCGAAATTTGTTGTGTAAATGATTTAATTTTAATATAAGTTTGTGGATTTCAAATCACATACAGAGTGGCCCAAAAGTCTGGAAACGACTAATTATCTCGTAAAATGCTAATCATAATTGTACAAAATTTGAGGTACACCTATTTTGGGATACGGAGATTCCATATTTGATATTTACAATGTTGCCAGATTTGCCGTTTTTCTTATATTATTAGTAACTTTGGTTTTTCAAATACATCACCCTGTATATTCAGTCATTATTGGAATCTCCTATTCAATACGAGTTCAACCATATCTAACACTTATGATTTTATGTAATCTGGAAGGTCATAAATACATAAAACCGAAGTCTGGCAACGCCTAAATCGTTTCAATAAATTTTTTAATACTAACTATTTTCAAATGCATTAAAACGTAACAATTGATAGTTTAGAACATTTTTTAACATAGTAGTTACGTTATTAAGTGTTCAATATGTGCTCAATTTGTGAGTTGACAGCACCCTAATCGATGGTAGAAGGCGTCTACCACATTTCTCCATGATTGTCTAGAAATTATTCGAGATTCATTGATAACTCGTTGCCTTACCTCTGCAAGACTTGCTGGTTAAGTTTTGTAAACTGAATTTTTCAAGTATCCCTAATAAAAATAATCTTTAGGATTAAAATCGGGTGAACGTGGAGGCCATTCAATTCTACCTTGTCTACCAATTTATCGTCCAGAAAATATCTCATCTAAATATAGCCGAAAATTTACACCAACTATCTGACGTTAAATTTCTTTCGACAAAAAATGACCCAATTGAATAAGTAACTACTATATCTGACCATACATTTAATTTTTGTGGTCTTTGAGTATGGTTTTCACGCATTCAGTCTTCAGTGTGAATTTACGTCACACCAGTACCTTAAATTGTGTCGATTTACACTTCCACACAGTGTAAAAGTTGCTTCATCGGAAAAACATATTCTTTTAACGAATTTTTAATAATTTTCAATTTTATCCATCATTACCTCAGTAAACTCTAATCTACGACCAAAGTCATCCTCACTTAATTCTTGCAATAAGGTAATTTTGTATGTTTTAAATTTATTTTTACGTAATAAACGTAAGACTAAAGAATGACCTACAATGTACTTGTACAACCCTGCCTGGGGATGTATGTGGATCTTCAACAAAACTTTGCTTATATCTGAAGTTTTGTTGTCATTGATAACTCGTTTCAGTCAACCTGATCGGTATCTATCTTTTACTTCTCCAGATTCCTCAAATCGCCTTACAGTTTTTTGTACCGTCGTCTTATGAATAGGAGAACGGTTTAGAGAACGGCATTTTAGAGAAGCAATTTAAATTGCAGAACTTTTTGAACCACAACTACTGTCAATTTTAGTTCATAATTTAAATGGTGAACAAATGTCAAAATCACAGCATTCTCCATTTAAATATTTAAATTTATTAAAATCTACATATTTTGCACTGTTTTATGTATTTAAGATTTTTCAGACAACATAAAATCAAGTGAACATATGGTTGAACTCGTATTGAATAGCTGAACTCGTGTGAAATTCACACTGAATGCGTGAAAACCATACTCAAAGACCACAAAAATTAAATGTATGGTCAGTTATAGTAGGTACTTATTTAATTGGGCCATTTTTTATCGAAAGAAATTTAACGTCAGATAGGTGGTGTAAATGTTCGGCGTTATTTAGATGAGATATTTCCCGAACGATAAATTGGTAGACAAGGTAGAATTGAATGGCCTCCACGTTCACCCGATCTCAATCCTAAAGATTATTTTTATTAGAGATACTTGAAAAATTCAGCTTACAAAACTTAACCAGCAAGTCTTGCATAGCTAAGGCAATGAATTATCGATGAATCTCGAATAATTTCTAGACAATCATGGAGAGATGTGGTAGACGCATTCTACCATCGATTAGAGTGCTCTCAACTCACAAATGGAGCACATTTTGAATTAATAACCTAACTATTATGTTAAAAAATATTCTAAACTATCAATTGTTACGTTTTAAAGTGTTTGAAAATAGTTAGTATTAAAAAATGTATTGAAACAATTTAGGCGTTGCCAGACTTGTGTTTTATGTATTTAAGACCTTCGAGACTACATAAAATCATAAGTGTTATATATCGTTGAACTCGTATTTAATAGGAGATTCCAATAATGACCGAATATACAGGGTGATGCATTTGAAAAACCAAAGTTACTAGTAATATAAGAGAAATTGAAAATCTGGCAACATTGCAAATACCAAATATGGAATATTCGTATCCCAAAATAGGTGTATCTCAAATTTTGTATAATTATGTCTAGTAATTTACGAGATAATTAGCCGTTTCCAGACTTTTGGGCCACTCTGTATATCATTGATTTGGATCTGCTTGAGTAACTGTCTCTTTAGTTTAATTGGATTGGTGATAAAATAAAGTGTGTTGAAATCTTTAATGTAATTTGGACAAATGTCATGTCTTATATTTAAATATTCCGTCATTCTACTATTTACATTTTGTACATTGCATTTTGCTATGTTAGGCAGCTTTACTTCATTAATATGATTAAAATCAAGCTTGAGATTGAAATTAAATTGCAAAACTATGAAGACAGAACATAGTTTTTGTTGATTACAGAATAATCCGAATCAAAAGGATCGTTCCGTTAAGTTTCCTGTCACTATTAGACAACTCTGCAAGCACATGATCTCTTGAATCAGTTGGAGCCGAGTGCATTTTTTTCGTTTAAAAAATGTTTCTTCCGAAGCTGGTTCAAAAACGAAGCTTGGTAAACGTTCAAAAACTTCGGCACCTCAGGATATCTGTGTATCTGGCTATAATGTTGATGTCATCTCATTATCTAACAACTTGTACAGATTTATATTGAAATATTATGGCATTTGGACTGATAGAAGGAACCCAATTAAAAATAATACAACATATGTGAGCAACTTACCTACAACTTGATATTTTATTACTATCACATCGATGCACTCTTAATGACTGAACTTCTGTGTCAGAAACGACCACAAGTCTGGACTCTTCTTTTCCACTTTTAACATTTTTCATAATTTTAATACCTCTTACCGGAGCATGTACCGGAAAAACTTGAATCTCTTCAATAACAACTGTTCTTACTCCGTGCCTTGAATCAGCAGATAATCCGTTGACAGCTTTTATCACTTTTCCATTATCTGTAATTAAAATAAACAAAAGATATATGTTTAAACTGTCATTATTACTGAGAAAAATACAATTAAATTATTACAAGAATTTTTTGTATTACCATGTAACGAAAAAAAATAACCAAATAACGAAACGGGTTCATCCTAATCGTTCCTCGATGTTTTCATAAAGAAAAATCAATCTCAAGGTTTCCATTACTGGGTTGACCAAAAACCCACCCATCATCATCATCAATCAGCCAATCGCGTCCACTGCTGGACATAGGCATCCCTCAGTTATTTCCAGTGTTCTCTACACTGGACCGCTTGTAGCCAGTTTCCCGCTACACGTTTTATATCATCGGCCCATCTAGTCGGTGGTCGTCCTCGGCTTGTTTTATAGTTTCTGGGCCTCCATTCCATAATACGTCTTGTCCACCGTCCATCTTGTGCTCTGGCTAAGTGCCCTGCCCAGTTTCACTTAAGCGACGTGGTTCTTTCGATGACGTCTTGAACTCCTGATCTTTGCCTGATTTGTTGGTTTGTTATGTGGTCTCGAAGGCTCACGTTCAGCATTGCACGTTCCATGGCTCGTTGCGTAACTCTGAGTTTATTCGCAGATTTTTGCGTGAGTGTTAAAGTCTCCGCTCCATAAGTTTGTACAGGTAAAACACATTGGTCATAAACCTTTCGCTTGAGACACATGGGAATTGAACTTTTTAGAATATGGCTTAATTTGCCAAATGCTGCCCAAGTTAGGCCTATTCGCCTCTGTATTTCATGTGTTTGATTGTCTCTGCTTATTTTGATTTCGTGTCCCAGATATTTGTAAGTGTCTGTTTGTTGTATGTTATTATTGTCAATAGTTATATTTCCACTCATTACGAGATTTATTATAAGTTTAGTTTTCTCAAAGTTTATCTTTAATCCTGCTCTTTCAGACAGACTTTTAAGCGAATGCATCATAGAAACTGTATCATGTAAGTTATCTGCGAATAATACAACATAATCTGCAAATCTTAGGTGATTTAATCTTTCTCCATCTATATTGATGCCCAAATCTTGCCATTGAGTGCTCTTAAATATTGACTCTAGAGCTGCCGTGAACAATTTTGGTGAAATATTGTCTCCTTGTCTAACTCCAGGAGTTAGACAAGGAAACCCACCCATGCCAACTGCTAATTGCTTGCCAACTCCCATCACCTACCTTCGTAAATTAATTTAGTTATTAATACGCTTGTTTTTAGATCAATATATCCTTGCAATGATTCAAGTAGATCCGCTGAAATCTCCTTTTAATATAGTTCCATAAATAGGAGCATCAACAGGGTTAAATTTCAAACAAAAAAAAAAAAAAATAAAGAAAAACATAACAGTGAAAAATCATCTGAACTAAATTGCGAGCAAACAAAAAAATACATATTTTCTACCACATCTTCCAGCTACAAAAACATACTGTATGTCCCCCTATCCAGCCCCCCGCAATAAAAAAGAGGGCAGCCATACCTTGAAGAGGCGAAAGTCTAAAACGAGGTTGTCGAAACTATTCTTCGATCTGGTTTAACTTCCCGCCCAATAGCAATCCAAAGAATCAGATTCTCATGATATGAAAGAAATCTTTTCTTCCTTATATCAAAGTTATTACAAAATCGACAAAATCCTCAAATTAAAGAGAATATTTACCCCTCAACAAAAACTTGAATATCTTGAATCTATGTATCAACACAGACTTTAAGAAATTCCCTGTGCAGACTGCCCACAATCTTACATAGACCAAAACAATCGTAGAATCCAAAATAGTATCTATGAACATTCCACTTCCGTTAGCAATACTTTTCAGTTTTATCTCCATACAAGCCACGAAATTGAATTTGAAAATTCCAGAACTATAGCAACCATCCGTTTCTATAAACAGAGAAGTATTCAAGAAGTCATATGTATTGAATATTTAAAGTAGGTGCAAGTAGAAACACCAACTCTAACCTAAACGAAAAAGTTAATATAAACACACGGCAAGTTCAAAAAGCATTTGAAAAGTCGAAGACTAGAAAACGTCAAATACTAGCAGAATGGAGACCTAGTGAAAATATCTTACTATTTAAAAAGATGATAAAGACAGCCAAATTCTAGTCGATATCATAAAAACTATTAAAAACATCTTAACAAAACAACAAGATGGAAGTCAGAATAGCCATTGAGTAAGTAATGAAAATAAAATACCTTGGAATTACATTCTCCAGTGATGAAGGCTTGGAGAGAGAAGTGAGAGATCAAATACAAATGGCGAATAGACTGATAGGATGCCTTATAGTAATATTATCTGGCAAAACCACCATGTTAATATAGAGCAAGTCAAGAATTTCTAAATCTAGTATAAGAACAATGACGAATGTATAGAATACTGGGAAGAACTACAGGAAATATGCTTTGAGACAGCAATAGCTTTGAGAGTGAAAACATCCGAAGAATTTGTAACGTACAGGATATAAACAAGTGAGCACTAAACAGAAAATATGAAATAATGACACAAATAAAATTCAACAGACTTCCATAAATGAATCAATCCATCAATGAACAATCAGAACTGCTTTTAATGCAAAGTATTTAACTAATACGGAAGTTATTTCTAAATATTAATAATAATACAACATGAAAGTTCTATACGAACAACGGTGTATCTAAAGTGAATTAAAAACATTTTCCTTGAACATATTTAAGCAAAAAAAAGACCAAGGTTGTGGATACCCAAAATTCTAAAGACCAACTCTTCAGTATTAATGATCAGAGAAAGACTTAAGACATATCAAATAAGGAAAATGAGGTATATAATCAGACACCTTGTGCATTTTTTGTACTTGCTTTGGATATTTTTTTGTACTTATACAATAAAATGTAGAACAACCAAAGACTAATTTGTTCTATTAATACTTTAATACACTTATTTTTGAAAAGTCGCGACTGTCTAAAATTATTAATATATCAAGAATCTCTACCTCTATCACGGGATGATAGAACCTTCTACCAGTTCATGGTTATCTCAGGTAATACTGGTCAAGAACAAAGGCAGAAATACGAGGTTATGTGTGGATTACCATTTGTTGAACAATGTTACTAATCTTCTGCTTTGGATAGACTACACGTTGGATGCATTGGCTGGACTTGAACGTCATGGACATGAATTTTGGACTTAAAGTCTGGATATTGGCAAGTAGAAATGGATCCAGTAGATAAAGAGAAGACAGTCTTAACCACAGGATCTGGATTGTGGCAATTCAACGTTATGCCAATTGAACCGCGTCATGCTTCTACGACATTTGAAAGGCACATCTAAAATTTCTTAAGAGGATTATCATGGAAAACAAGACTGGTATATTGAGACGACATTGCCCAATTGATTTTAAACCCCAAGAAATGCCAGACAGGCAAAGAAAGAGATCAAGAATTTGAGAGAACGTTTTTCAAATTATTAATATATCAAGAATCTCTTTGTTATCCATGAATCTAGTTATATTAATATATGTGCCCATGCGTTCACTCATTTTAAAATTGTAGTTAATTGGTTAGGAAATAAAACAAACTAGTACAAAAATAATGTAATAAACCTCACCTGTTCCAATAAAAAGGACGTCGTATGTTTTGCCGCCTGGAACTTTAACCTGCGGATCCACTGCAATCTGTGTAAATCGGTAGCTAAAAGAAAAAATAAGATTAAAAAATGAACTGTTTTTAGGTAAACTCGTCTTGCTAAATCCGTTGTATTCCACCTTCAGCAAACTCCATGTTTATTCTAAATAAACGAATGAAGCCTGTTCTTTTTTAAAATTATTACAGTTTCTTAAAAACTAGATTCTTTTGTGAACGACATTAACTCTTTCACGCAAGGTTTTGTAGCATTCCAATTCTTAATCTTTAAACTTTTGACGAAACTGTACTTTCCCGTTAATCCTACGACTAGAAATTATTTTTTTATCGCTCCAAATATGTCAAGTATGTATACTTAAGAGTTTCCCTACTCATAATAAATTAGCTTAAACTATAATTACGTTAGAGTGTTAAGATTTTCTGATGGGAACAAAGTCACTACTTTTACTACATAACTGTCTACTCTTCTCCAAACATTAATTACCTTTGGAAAAAAGTTATAAAAGAGATAGGCTAAATCCAATTTCAGTCTCAGTTCGTAGTTGTGCGTCGAAATGGCTTATGATGTCTTTATTCATGGCCGATGTTTCTTGTTTGTTTAATTGTGATGAAACCTGCATTTCATGTGGTAAGATTTGTCATTTTATCGTTAATCTATTCAACATATGTAGTATGTATTTTACGCCACAAATATTTAGATTTAAGCATGATAAGAAGATTGGTGCATGGAATGTACGAAGTTTATTCCAGGCCAAAAAAGTGAATAACATAATTAAAGAAATGCGAAGACTCAACATTGACATACTTGGATGCAGTGCGAAGTAGAAAACCATACAATATACTACTGTGAGAATACTACAACAAGAAACAAAAACGGAGTGGCTATAATAGTAAATAAAGAAGTTAACAAATGTGTACTTAGTTTTATAGGAATATCAGATAGAGTTGTAGTACTTAAAATTAATGCTAAACCAGTTCACGTCAACATTATTCTAGCATATGCTTCAACTTCGGAAAGCTCAGAGCAGGAAATAGAAATATTCTATGAACAATTGAAAAAACCGCTAAAACATACCAAAAACAAGAAGTAAATATCCTGCTAGGAGAATTTCAACGCCAAAGTAGGCAAAGTAGGTGTTGCAATACTGTGGAACACTTTGGAATAGGAACGCGAAATGATCCAGTTCTGCCAGGAAGCGGATAGTGCAATATTGAACACTTTTCTTCTTTATCACCTCGAAGATTCTACACCTGGAAATCTCCAACTGACTGTCCAAAAAAATATATTACAAACCAAATTGACTACATCATCGTCAACAACCGATTTCAGAATTCCGTAAAATCCGCAAAAATATATCCGGAGCTCATGTTCCTTCTTTTTCTTCAGATGCAAATCCACTAATGGATGTTAGCGATCACATTTTCCATTAATTCTCTATTTCTTGCAATATGTATCAGAGATTGTATGTCGTTAATCCCTGTCTATTGCCTTATGTTTCGGAGCCCATATATTTTCTTGCGTCCCATTCCTCTCTTGCCTTCAATTTTAGCCTCGATTATAAGTTGGAGGAACTGGTATTTTTTCATTTCGCATGATGTGACCTAGATACGCCGTTTTCCTTTTCTTGATGGTTTCGAAAAAATAATGTTCTTGGTTTATTCTTTTAAGGACATCTATATTTGTGATTTTCGCTGTCCATGGTATTTTTAGGATACGGCGATAAAGCCACATTTCGAAAGCTTCTGATCTGTCTATATCCCTCGTTTTGAGTGTCCAGCCC